TTTTCAAATGTAGCGTCTAAAGTTTTCAATGTTATATCGTCAGGGGCGTAACTAGGCATACTCCTGTATGCCCGTGCGTACGCCCGTGCGTACAAATCAATCCTGTGTTCAAAAAAATCACATGCGCTAAAAGTTCTAAAAAAGTGATAAAAACATAGGGGGTAGTGTGGTCGGGGCACATACAGGCCTACTGACTCTTTCGACTTAATCGTTATATAAATATTTCATAACATTTACAGTATAAATTAATATCTTTTAAAATGATCTATATTGTGATATATTGTACAGATTCAACGGAGGAAAGTTATGAAAAGCTTAAGGTATCTTGTTCAAAACCTATTCTTGACCGAGATATTCGATCCCCTAGCATTGGCTTGGTGGCCTGTTTTTGCACAACGTGCTTATTCGGCGCGCAGGTCGCCCGCAATATTTTTTCCCAAATTTTTTACTATTCCCGTATCGCCCCTTTTGTGTCCTCTTCTGCTTTTTGGTTGGGTGCCTTCTGGGTGCCCTGCTGGTTTGGCTGGATTGTGTAGGAGGCTGAGTTCTGCCAACGTAGCCTTGAATATTTGATTTTTAATCTCATCCTTTAATCAGAAAACAAGTTACAAATTGGTGTAATTTCTCAATGGCATATTAATCAATTGATTGAGAGAATTACTTTGCTGTGCCAAAAAGGGCAGAAAAATACAAAGAATGTACACTTCCTTCTCAATTTTATGCAGTTATTTAAAAGAATAGTAATATTCTAAAATAAGTTGTTGAGATTAAATTTATTATTCTCTGTGGTCAGCAAAACATTGCGATGAGTCATCAAGAAAGTTACATCATTATTAAAGTCGTACATGCATATATCTGCTTATGAATTTACTTTATCACAAAAGGTCTTAAATGAGTCATTTAATGTATTCACATGATCCACATAATCTATGTTATATGCAACAATTTTTGATTAATTTACTGACATTTCTGAATGGAGATTTTGAAATATCTTTGCGTGTAATATAACGTGTAATATAACGCGTTTTTTTTATATATACATGTATTGTAATGTAATGAAATATTTAACAGTCCAAAACAGTCACTGAACTTAATCACAATTTTCACACCATTATAGTTCTTAAATTAATAAATTGTTACAACAGTTGGTGCAAAATGACAGTCTTTCCTCAGAGAGCATTGGGGCATTGTGTAAATATACTCATCTTTGTCGAGAGTCTCAGCGTTAGCTGTGGCTTATGTGATGGACTAACGTGAATTTGACAATTCCGTCCAGCGGACCCGGCTTTTCTAAAGAAAGCAAGGCTCTATGCCCAAACATGTCATCTAATCAATTCAATTAAAACAAACGCTCGCTTTAGTTTTCGACGTTTCTAGCGTTTTTGTTATTTAAAATTTACAGAGTACGGGAGATTTGTTGCTATAACATCAGTTTGAAAATCGCAAAATGACATTTTTTTCTGCAAATAAAATCGATTATAAATATAAAAAAATTCTATGGTATATGTAACGTACTTGTACATTTTACCTATTTTAAAATTAACAAAAAGAGTTTGAAATCATTACCAATATGTTGTCAATATAGCCTCAAGATAGTCACAAAATGCCAGGATATCGCTTCCTCTTTCAAAAAAATGTCTCGGGGGAGCATGCCCCCGAACCCCCCTAGTTAAGGACTACATAACAAAATAGCTCAGTTACGCCCCTGATCGTAGTCCAATGTGGTCCGGTATTTTGACATGGTTACCTTAATTTGACACCTTAAATTTAAGTTTAAAAGTAGATCTAGCATAATTTTTTAAAGATATATTTATAATTTTGTTCGTATTAATATTCGAGCGGGTGTGGATATTACCGAACATGCGTGTATTGTCGAACACAATTTTCTTTTCACCATAATTAACCTTGCCTTGACATGTATACACAATGAGGCATATATGTAATTTTTAACACTGATATGCCTCTTGCTGAAGTTCATTATAACCAAATACATTGTATAATACTTGTAATTAAATTGCTTTTCAGAATAAACACCGATCATTACGATACATTATCATTATATAATGCTACTAATAAAATATATCAAGTATTTTAAATTTGTTATGGGACTTAATTAGCTAGATTTAACTTTAGACACGCTGTTGAGGGTCAAGATTGAAGAACAACTTAATAATAATAATAATAATAATAATAATAATAATAATAATAATAATAATAATAAACCCTTTGTTTAACGAAGGTAACTTATTAAGACAATACATCAAAGCATTAGACACAGCACATATAATGCAAAATCTTGTTTTCAACAAGGTCTTCAATAAAACATAAACATAACAATGGATATGTTAAAGCAATTATAAACATTACAACATTCAGTAGATCATAATCAACAAAGAAGACAGACACATAAATATATGAATGTGTTTAAGACGTTAACAATGGTATAATTTGACAAAAATCAAGATGCAAAGGCCGACCTCTAACACGTTTCTCTATGAACTGAGTTTTATTATTTTCATTTTTTGGGCCAAACCTTCATACAATAACCGATGTTAGCGAATGTGTGGTCCCATTTGTTTCATTGCGATAATAAAACAATTATGCTCAACATGATCAACATGGTAATATAACCAGTGTCATATTTTTACTAAGTGTGAACAGATATCTTAAGAAGAGGCCTTCTCTAATAGCGATAACATAATAAGGGACAATACACAAGTGTGGTGTTGATCAGGCGTTACAGAAATGGATTATAAATGATTGTATATATCCGTTGCTATTATTAATCACGATATTACATTTATGACCATAAAAAATAACAATTATAATATAATATTATATATGTATTTTATTATTTTCAAAATGTAAAAGAAAATCGCCAAGTAACGTGCTAATATTAATGTATTATTCATATAACAAAATAGATTATTACAAAAAATATACAATTCAATTGCTGCATTTCTTGCTTGGACGCCCATTGATGCTTTGCATCAATGCTGTTCTTGTTTTCCATGAAATGAATTTGTTAACCTATAGAGTAAATAAGACATTTTCGGAAAATAGCACGATTGTGATTTTCAGAAAATTATAAAGCAGTATTAAATGTACTAAATGAATCTCGATTGGTCATCTTCTGCTTTGAATAAATCAGAAATATTCATAAGCTGTCACTTTAAAAGTAACTTTGCTCTTAATCAATATCTGTAGAACCTTTGTCATGAAATTAAGTAGAATTAAATAACGATACAATTTATAAGACATAATGCCAAAACTAACATAGAGAAAAAGGGTGAGGATGTCAAGTTATGAAGGGTGAAGTCAAATGTTTATTTATCAAATACTTTGTCGATTTTCTAGATCTAGCAAATATCACACACCTTTAGTTTAATTGGTTTATTAATGACCTAGTAAAGAAAATAAAGTTGCTAGATGATATATATCAAAATAAATACATGGTACACTTTTTGCCCTGAAGTGAACAACTTTACTTTTAGTTGCATTTACAGACATATTATAAGTGTTGGACCAACTACTAAGGACATCAAGCAATAACTGCAAATCTGTTTCACTTTCTACATTGAAGACAATATCGCCCGCAACTTGGGGAGCTCATAGGTTATTTTACATCTCCCACCAAGCACTTATGAATGCTATCATGAATATAATCAAAGCACAGAAGGCGCTGAATTTGTTTGGGTCTCAGAATGTCAGACAGGTGAAGGTTGTGAGATTATAAACCAATTTTTTTGAAGAGTGCCACCGATGCTGTTTCCAGTGTTTTAACTGTAGTAAATTGGCTATAAGACTAATTGCAACACTGTTATTCAATTCAATGTTTATTTGACTTAAACCTGAAGAAAACCACATTATTCTAAATTAGGGTTTGTAACCCTTATTATTTCGAAACCTGTTGTTTAATCACGGAGCTTACTATAAGCATGTATATCGCTATAAATAATAAAACAATATTAGAAATATTCGACCATTCGGAAACTTTTGCTTGGAAATTAATGCGCCTGTCATTTGACAATCTTTACGCAGTGATCTCCCCTGAATTTTTCGGCGTTAGTGTACATATAAAGGGAAGTAACCGCTTCAGAAAGCGGACTACTTTCGGCATTTGCAATTAACAGCATCAGGGTCTGAAATTTCGCTACCATTATTTGTTTGGTCTGACGACCCAAACAATTAAAAATGAGTAATCATCATGAGCAAACCTAAATGCGAAACTTTGGAAACCGTTTTTGGTTTTTGCTTTTTCTGTGCTTGAAATAAACTGTTCCTTAACATCTCGTATTACTTAATGACTTTTTGTTTTGTTTCCCCACAAAAATAAGACTCATATGCTATACCATGCCATTATGTTAAGAAATAAATTGTATTATATTTAAAAAGATGAAATTTTATGGATGTTACATTCAAAATAATATTGTTCTTTTCATATGATATTGGTCTTTTGTTGAAAATTATTTAAATGATGTGTAGAGACATTCACATAACTTTACCTTTAATCAAATAAAGGTACATATTGTAAAGGTTTACATAGTAGTAAGACAATTCAGAAGTATTTAAATGATATGCTCGGTGTAAAATAACCTTTGGGCTTATTATATCTAAAATATCATTTAATTACGAAGAATTACAAATTTCCTTTTATGTTTTTAGTTTTTGTACCCGATGTTTATATCATTTTAAAACAGAAAGTATTTATTTATTTTTTATTTTACTTCCGTCTTATTTTACATGAAATGAATGTGTAAATAGGACATTTTCGGAAAATAGCACGATTGTGATTTTCAGAAAATTATAAAGCAGTATCAAATGTACTAAATGAATCTCGATCGATCATCTTCTGCTTTAAATAAAATAAGAAATATTCATAAACTGTCTTACTTATTATGTTACTTTTTATTGACTTTTAGTCATTGATCGATAATATAGGTTTACATTCTAATGAACAAGCCAATGAACAGATCATTTGTGTTTCTATTCCAGAAATAACCGTGCAAAAAATTCCAATAAACGTTTTCCAAAATTATAACCCAGTCTTTATAAATATTACATAGTTTCATTTCTTTTAAGTCATTCAAAGTTATTCTCGTGAGCACATTCTTTCATTAAAAGTTTTTCTTTGGTTTTGGAAAATATTTAGGAAGGTAGGACATAATACCTTTATACTATTGGTAGGCGTATGTTTAAGCATATAAATGCATCTGAATTATTGGTCATTTTAAAATTTATATATTTTATTTATAATACCATGAGGGACATAACTTGGTTTGAATTCTTGTGTAGGCCGAATTCTGGGAAGGGGATAATTCTAGGGGGACAAACCCCACCAGAAATGTCTTTACTTTAGATTACCGAAGATGCCTTTAAGTGTACATTTAGTGCAAATAAATACTTTCATGGGATTGTTTGTATTTGCATGTTTGCAAGATAATCATTTTAATTTTTCACTTTGCTTTGTCTTTCACAATTTATAAGAAGTTATACCTCTGATGTCTATGATTTATTGGATACATATTGTAATGAAAATACGGTCATTTTAATTTTTTTGTCAAAATCTTCAACAGTTTTTTAGTTGTTAATATAATTCATACAACGAGGGAACATTATATTATCAGAAAACGTATACAAAATTAGCTCAGGTTCAGCATTAAATGCTATTCAATTCATGAAAACTCTTTATCACTAATTTGCTGATTTCAACAAAGCTCGTGAGAGTCTCCATGTTTGTGTGTTGGCCAATTGTTCAAAGTCAGTTGAGCGTGACGTCAGATATCTGCATTCAGGCTAAAACAAAATAACAGCATAGTTTGGGTTCATTGTCATACAGAACAAAACACTAGAGATAGATACAATGAAACGATTTTTAATCATCTAACCGATTTGTAGCTACGCGCAAAAGTAGAAAATTGTCAAAAATGCTGTGCCCTCACAAGAAATCTTGATATGTATCTCGACAAAAACATTTTCATGATGCATCTAGTTAAAGAAAAATTAATATTATGGTAATAAAACAAGAATGTTTTTTAATTTTTTTTTTCACTTTGCCATATTTTAATTTACATCGAGCTAACTTATACTTCAAACAGATCAAGAGTAAAGTATGTCTAGACACAGAAAAGAATTAGAAGTGAGGTTTATACGATACACACAAGATGTAATTGATGATACATTCGATGACGGTACACGTTTAAATGACACATTGGATGGTCTTCGAAATAAACGATACAAAGTAAACGATAAAATACCAAAAATAACAGTAGTAAAAAAAGATGAAATTTATTTTTGCCAAGACAACAGAGAGCTTTGGGTGTTGAAAGGGCTCGCAGCGTTCTTGGAGGAAACTGAAAATGTCGTATTAAAGGTACCTGTTAAATTTGGAAAATTAGAAAATTTGAAAATGACAACTACAACAGAGGGCGAGGATGTCAGGTTACGTCATAAAGGGTCTACTGAAGAATTTAGGACTATCAAATCCGTAGAGCTGTCGACAATTCGTTACAGCTCTGATAAAATTTATGGATTTTCCCGATCAGGTGAATACGAGATAAAAAGCTTCTTATCCAATTACCGCGACCCTAGTCAGTTACCAGTGCTGGATGTTGTCAAAAGAAACGGAAAATTGTATGCTTTAGATAACAGACAACTGTGGCTAGTGAAGCACTGGTTTCAGAAGAAACCTGGTGGCGTGGATGAAGAAGAGAAACAACATTCTCCTAATATGAATATCGATGATAGTAAGGATAGTTCAAACAATGAAAATGATATCGACAGCCAGGACCTTGAAGGTGCCGTTGCAAGAAGTGTTGATACTGATCGTGTAAATATGGAAACACAATTATCCTCAGACAAGCAAGAAGTACGCAATAAAAACTTTGGTGTTGAAGTTCACGACGATGTTGTTGTAGTGGAAATGAAACCATATGATACATTTTTGGGATATACCGCTCTTGTAAACGAAGGCATATCCATAAGATTAGTACAGGAAGCGGAACCAGAAAGAAACAAACCAAAGAAAAACTCACATCTCAAATATAAACCACTTACAAGACAGAGTCCATCGAACGATCGGAGGAGCGTTATGCGATATGCAGAAGCTTACAGAAAACAGCCGCTCGAAACAATAAAAAAGAAGTAAAAAATTACAACGGATATTTTCTTGAAGTTTTTTTACTCCCTATACAACGTATTGTACTGTTTTTAAATGATATATTTAAGATGACATTTTGAGCGTTTACCTGTAAACTATTATAAATGTTTCAAGATATACCGCACAATATATTTGATTACATGCTTCTGTTATGTTGGCCATTAATTGTCTTACATAAATATTTTCTGAATAAAACTTTTATACTCTTACGTTAATACTCAAGATTAATTTATTTTCTTACGATATGTCTAAACTTTGAAGACTTTCTGCGATATTGGTATTGTGTAACTGTGATTGTCTTTAATACAACATTGATGGCTAAATTTTTGAACTGTTATTAAATATGTACAGTACAATCACTCACACCTGTCTTTTGAGGTAAATTTTGAAGACATCGATCGTTACCTGTTATCCTTTTACAAATTGTTTTAAGTTTACTCGCTTTGTAGAATGTAAACATTAGAAAATGCCTGGTTTAATATTTGCATATTTTAACTCAACCACCACTTTTTCCATGGCATATGCTGTGGCGGCCGTCTTCATGTTCTTTTCCGTTTTTCTGAACTTGGAAAAGCAAATCAAGTTTATTCCCTTTGACTGGATTAGCATAGTTTGATTTTATCATTAAATGCACATTCATTATATATGTCCTAGAACTGCTTTATTTTTTTATTTTTTTATCTTCCTGTTATATATCAAAATATTTACCTATTGGCACTATAACTGAACCATCTTTTGCTTCTGTTACTTTTTGACAGCTTTAGTGATTCAGTAATTTATATACAAGTAAAATAAACTTTTGTTTTTTTCATTTGGTACATCTATGAAAAATAATTTCAAATTCATCGCTTCTTAGGTGATAAACATCTAACATACTCCAAAGATTTAAACTCATATTTGCCCTTTCTATAGGAGTTTCAATTGCAGTTCTCGATCATTATTAATTTCTTTGTTCAATTATGATGCATGTTCAATTATGATGCACATTTTCTTTTTACTTTGTGTTAAAACTGTGTCGTATTAGAATGTATTTCTACGTTAATGTAAAAGAATAGAAAAGCACTTGATGAGGTTGATATAACTTGATATTTTCTATGAATAGAGCACATTCATGTTTATTTGACAGTTTTGTATATACTTGTAGTCAAATAAATTATAAATTAGTACACATCATCATTTTTGTTGTTTACTTATTTTTCATCTATGTACTAACAGTTTAAACAAACAATGTTATGAAACATGCACGATACAAGAGAATTATACTCACAAGAAACTACTAAAAGTCACTGAAATCAGGTTCATGTACATTATGTGGTTAATAAAAAAAATTGATCAATAGTACCTGAAAATTACATTGCTTAACAAAATTTGTAAAAGAATAATTGGTTGAAACAAGGAAATACAGCTAAAATGTTACACTTGTACAATTATTCAAAATACAATAATAAGCTCTTTTGAAAAAAACCCTTACTTCTTTTGAAAATTATCATTTCCAGTTCACTTAATAGCAACTTAAAATAATTTTTTGTATTAAAATCTTAAATCATATAAACTTATAAGAAGTTCTACTTACTTGTATAGTCACACAGAAATGATGTGTTACAACGTAATTAGTATTCTTAGTATACAACATATTATTTTTATATTTAAGAATATCACAACAGGTGTTTGCGAGTAATCTTCCTGCTGGGCAATCAGGTACAAAAACATTTCATGTTAAAAATTTCTAAGGTAAAGTAAGTGCAATCGTACGATGGTTACCTTATGATTTCATACATTTAACATTCCATTATAACATGTATTTCATTTTCAATACCATCTAGACAAAGTGGACATATCCTTTCGCACCCTGTTAAATGTTCATGTCGACCAGTTTCAAGATTGGATAGGTGCGACACCACAACGGAGTTAAGCCAAAGCTAGACTTTTAGAAACAGGAAGTTATGTGTACGAAGATTTATTTCGCCCGGAACCAATGCTCCTAAAAGTATTCATAACAGAGCTATGGGGATACCAATTAGATCGTACTATTTTATGTTTATGCAAAGAGAATTAGCCAGCTTTATATATGTGAAATATACATTAATACCAATTATTGACTTCTCATAAATAACTGAGTATTTATCAGATTTTAATGGACCTTATTTAAGATATCTTGTTCTTTAAATCATTGTTGCATTTTTTGCATTTATTCTGAAAACATTTAGTGCTATATTTGGTCTCTTGTGTTCTAAGCATCAACGATTTAGAAACAATCCTAGGTTTTTGACCAATATATATGCTTTGATGTCATATTTGTTGAATAGTATTAATGAGCAGGTAATAAAGGATAGATAGGTGACGTCGCTGAATTCATCAACATAAGAGCAGATAATCAAAGATATCGCCTTCAGTCTTCAGTCTCTGCGTAAATATTTTCATTTTTTAAGCAGCGAGCTGTAGCTGAAAGTATGGGTGTTTTTAAAAATATATAAATGTTCAATTATTCTTATGCATTCTATTATTTCGACGCCACTCGGTGTCTGATTACACAAAAATAAGACTGATAAGCTTTACCATGTCATTATGTTAAGAAATGGATTGGTATGATATTTAAAAAGATAAACCTTTATAAAATATACTTTTTATGATCGTTTTATTCTACATCAGTAAGAGCATATTTCTCCGATGGATGTTACATTCGAAATAATATTGTTCTTTGCATATGATAATACATTCTTTTGTTGAAAATTATTCAAATGATGTGTTGAGACTTTCTCATAACTTAGACTTTACTCAAATAAAGGTATATATTGTAAAGGTTTAAATAGTAGTAAGATAATTAAAAGTATTTAAATTATATGCTCGGTGTAAAATAACCTCTGGGCTAATTATATTTAAAATATCATTTAATTACGAAGAATTACAAATTTCCTTTTTAAAAGTTTTAAGTTTTTGTACCCGATGTTTATATTATTTTTACAACAGAAAGTATTTAGTTTTTATTTTACTTCCGTCTTATTTTCGATGAATTGAATTTTAACCACTAGAATACCTAGGACATTTTCGGAAAATAGCACAATTGTGATTTTCAGAAAATTATAAAGCAGTATTAAATGTACTAAATGAATCTCGAGTGATCATCTTCTGCTTTAAATAAATCAGAAATATTCATAAGCTGTCTCTTTTAAAGAAACTTTGCTCTAAATCAATATCTGTAGAACATTGATGATGAAATAAAGTAGAATTAAATTACGATACAATTTATAAGATATAATGCCAAAACTAAGATAGTGAAAAAGTGTGACGATGCCAATTTATAGAGGGTGAAGTCACATGTTTATTTATCAAATACTTTGTCGTTTTTTCTAGATCTAGCAAATAGCAAACACATGTTTTGTTTAATCTGTTTAATAACCTTTTACCCCATGAGCATATTGCGAAAAATGGCTGTTTTCATTGAAAAGCCTCCTGTAACAAGTTCAAAACTGCTATGAAACTATGAAAAATGCTTCAATACTAATGAAACTTGGCACAAATGTTGACTACACCATAGCCTCTGTAACAGCATGCACAATGGTAAATTTCCCGTTACCAAGGCAACGGGGGGACGTCTCAAAATTGCCAAAAATCACTATTTTGCATTGTTTTTTCCATCAAAACTGATTTCAAAGTGCTTCAACTTCTCAATGAATTGAGATAGAGTAAAAGGCTTTTCAGCGTCGGTTACTAGTTACCCTAAGATTGACCTGAGGCCATTTTTAGCCTGTCACATGTCCAAAATTTTCTTGGCGATGAGGGGGACTCCGCCCCCTTTAAACCCCCAAACAGAAGAGGTCACATCATTTTTCATTGAAAAGCCTCCTGTAACAAGTTCAAACTGCTATGAAACTATGAAAAATGCTTCAATACTAATGAAACTTGGCACAGATGTTGACTACACCATAGCCTCTGTAACAGCATGCTCAATGGTAAATTTCCCGTTACCTTGGCAACGGGGGGACGTCTCAAAATTGTCAAAAATCACTATTTTGCATTGTTTTTTCTATCAAAACTGATTTCAATCAATGAATTGAGATAGAGTAAAAGGCTTTTCAGCGTCGGTTACTAGTTACCCTAAGATCGACCTGAGGCCATTTTAGCCCGTCACATGTCCAAAAATTTCTTGGCGATGAGGGGGACTCCGCCCCCCTTCTAACCCCCCAAACAGAAGGGGGCACATTCCCCTTCTGGCAACCCCCTGATGTAATATTTGGATGGGGGACGGCGCCAAAAAAGTGGTCACTTTTTTTAACAGCATTTCTCAAACGAAAAACAGTGTTTGGGGTCTAAAAAGGTTGTTTTTTTTCACTGTTTGAGGCCTCAAAAAAAAAGGGGGGTCAAAAAGCCGTCGAAACCCGCTTATATAATGACCTAGTTAAGAAAGTAAAGTTACTAGATGATATATATATCTAAATTTCTACACTTTTTGTCCAGAAGTAAACAACTTTACTTTTACTCGCAAATCTGTTTCACTTTCTACAATTAAGACAATGTCGTCTGCACACAATATAATACTTAGGTTATTTTACATCTGCCACAAAGCACTTATGATAAGCTGTCATGAATACTGAAATGAATAATGATCATGAGCAAACCTAAATGCGAAACTTGGGAAACCGTTCTGCTTTGTTTTTCTTTTTCTGTGCTTGAAATATACTGTTCCTTAACTACTCGTATTACTAAACGACTTTTTGTTTTGTTTCCATGGACTGCTTCCATTTTTCCTTTTCCAGTTGTACAGCTTGATTACCGTTTTCATTGCAAAACTTCCATTACTTTTAGTGTAATTTTAGTTGTGTATTATAGAAATTACCCAAGGTCAAATGTGAAAAAAAAATTCGAATCTGCAACATACAATAAAACTAGTGGAAGGTTTTTTTAAAATAACATGGCACAAATTATCACACTTATGAGACGATGCGCTGAGCTCATAAACCAGGTTGCTACTTCCAAGGACATGGTCATACTTAACAGTTAATCAAAGGTTAAACAATCTACTGTGGCGTATATACTGTGGCATCAATTGTGTCGTATAGTGGGAATAAAAGAGACTCTTTGTGATTGTACGTGGCTTTATTTTTTCGAGCTATATATAAAATATAATTGTTAGTCATTCCCATCAGGTAACTCAACTATCTTTCTCCTCTCCACTGGACAGTCAATCTTACATTCCAATTGTAAACAACATATTTCACAATATACGTATTTTGATTTAAAAATAGCAACTGTAAATTAATCATCTTGACATAGAAGCGATTGCAATGACATAACAAAATCAACTATCTTCAATGTCAATGTCAAATATCTTCTTTGTCTTTAATTGAAATAAGTTATCGTCGCCGATAACAATTTAATCTTGTGTATTTTTATCAGTATGATATCATTTTTAAATCGAAACAAAAACATAAATAGCGAAAAGGAAGTTAGAGCAGACAAATGAACGTTTTAATAAACTGACACACACTACAATTTAAACTTATGATTATTTAGAATAAGGTAAGAATTGCGTAAAATATTAAATAAAAAAGGGTGGTAAAGCAGATCACTATATTATACAAGTTTGCGGCTGCGGCAAATCGTGTCAATGTGCATGTCGACAAATATTTATTTTACTTTTTATTCAATTCATTAAACAGTTTCACATATATGAATGTTATGCATCTCTTTTTGTTCAAAGTAATTTACCTGGTAATTTCTATTTTAATTTAAAATAGGAGAAATCGCACTTTCGAATCACATGTCAAGCAACCTAAAATTCACTTGCTATCGTAAAATAGTTTAAATTAAATCTTTTCATCTTATGTTGAATAGAAACACCGAGAAGACATGGCTTATAAAAATCCTGGACGACTAGAAGTTAGAGAAATCCGTTTTTCAAGAGATGTTATCGATGAAAAGTTTGATAATGGGAAGAAAATGAGTGATGTTTTGAGTGATCTTAAGACAGGACTTTTAGATTTAGATACACTGCCGCAAATTACAGTAGTGAAGAAAGCTAAGGTGTTCTTCACACTTGACAACAGGCGGCTATGGGTGTTAAGAGAGTACGCAAAATTCTTAGAAGAAAGCAGAAATGAGATTTTACGAGTACCTGTTAAAATTGAGAATTTGGCAAGGCTTGGAACCACTTGGTTGACAACGACGAGCGAAGGCGAGTTTGTTGAAGTGCAACATAGTGGGCCAACTGAAGCTTATGCGAATGTTGTAACTGTTCAGTTGTTTGAGATACGTTATAGCAGCGATTACATTATTGGAAAAAACATGGAAAAGAAATTTGACGCACAATTTGGTAGTATACACGAACGTGCCAAATTACCAGTGCTTCAAGTTGTCAAAAAACAAGATATTCTATATGCTCTAGATAACGATCAACTCTGGATGCTTAAACAATGGTATAGATATAACTGTGTGGATACTGAGGGAAAACAATCAATGTCTCATTCAAGTGAAAATGACAACGATGTCGATATTTGTGAAGATTTTATAATTAAGGTTGAACTGCGACCATATAAGGAACTTCCGGAACACTTTAGTACTTTAGATGCTGGAAAAAATATTGAACTTCGGAATAGACAACCGAAACATGGAGTACAAAAATATAAGGCACTCACTAGACAAGAGGCAAGTCAAAACAAACAGGTCATTAAGAAATATTGCGAAAAGGTCAACAAAGTAGAAAATAGAAGAAGACTTAAATCAAAATAATCTGAAAATACTATTAAATCAAAGATAATAAAACAGGGAAGATAATATAAAATGGTTTTGCGATAGGAATAGGGGAAATTTTTATAGATACAATTTTGTTTGAATATAAAAAAAATTATCGACACAAAAATTTAGTCAATTGATTATTCTGTATGAATGTTTTAAATAAAATGACTTTTTATCTTTTTTATCATTGTGAATTTTAATACTTTATGATATACCCCTGATTGTTTATTTTGTGGTTCTCTTTCGATAGACTTTGATCATCGTTTACAAATTGAACAATGTAATCGAGAAATATGGAAATTGTTTGTTTGTAAATGTATATGTTGCTTAACCTTGGCCTTCATGGTAATACCATTTTGCCGTGACTTTTTGTTTATATTCATAGAGTTCTTTACTATATATTCATTTCATTTATGATTTTGTCTATTCAGCTTCCTCCAATGAGGCTTAACAATTTTGACTTTCAGAAAATAGTTACGAATGAATCCTTTCCAAATATTCTGATAGAATTATCCAGTATGATATATCAATAACAATGACAAGACATTCTTTTATTTTTCTCATTTTATTCACGATTCATTTTCATGTTAATGTTCAATTTAATTCAACTACATTGAGAAAATGTTGAAATAAAAAGATAATCAGGCAAAATTATTATAATAATAATATAATACAAAGCGGTATAGAGAGGAGGTTGATAAAATAAGATAAAACATATGTTTCATTTATCAGTCTGATAAAAACGTTTTTGTGATTCAAAGTTTAATTCACATAATAAAAATTAGATATATATTGTATGTCACATATCGTTATATATCAAATAAATGAATAATGAATAAATAAATACTTGAAAAGCAGGTAATTACATCTGTTTTCTTTCTTGTTTTAAATTCTGATTTGATGGACTAGTGCAAAAGCGTAAACTTTATACGACTCAAAAAAGAAATCAAAGGGCTGCAAGCTCTGTGGTATTTTCTGATCCCTGGAATCTAAATCGTACTGTATATCTGTATGTGTTTTCCTGTATAAGTTTATTTTTATGTACTAATAAGTCATCTTGCAGGGCACAAGAGTTTGATACATACGGAATTTTGCATAACTAGAGTTGCATAAAAAATTAATTTATGTTCATTTTTTATGATAGCCACACTTTATCCTTGCATATCGTGGCTATTTCCTTAACAAAGACACTAAAAAAAAAGAATTAAAAAAAAGTTGACCCGACTGGGATTCGAACTCCGGACCTCTCACACACCAAACGAGCGCGTTACCCCTGCACCACGGAGAAGTTTTATAATCAACAGCTGAATAAAATCAAGTCATTCTAAATTTAGAATTTCCATTGCATTTCGGGTTAGGGTAATTTCGAGGTATTTTGTTAAGGGTAAACCTGTTGTTTAAAATTGAAGTAAATAATTTAGCAAAAATCTTCTCGCCCAAACAGTCCAACATGTAGAAACTATATATTCAACTACTCGGCAGTCAGATTTATTTGTGTAGTATTCGGTAATCGACATCGCTAAAATAGCATTTTCATTGATTAAAATCATATTCATCCGCGTAATTTGTGAGTGTGCATTTATTGACAACTCTATAAGCCAACGCTACTTTAAAAGTTTGAAGGTGTAGTAATTTGTTGGACACTTGTAATAAAAAATTGTTCTTTCTTTTAAATTGCTGGTTTTTAAGCAGTTTTGAGTGAGAACTAATTTGCGTTGTTAGGACTGTTAGGAAATTTTGTGTTAGACCGTGGATGTTAGCTATGTATTATCTGATCTGCGATCAGAAAATACAAAAAGAAATGGGCACATGGCTAGTAGCGGTTCGATAAAACATGATATGTTCCTTGTTCGGTACATTACATGAGTATTAAGACATCTGCATAAATGTTTATGTGTAAGTGAACATGTAACTTGAATTTTCAATTAAATGATATGTGATGTATACACTTTACCCCCTAAAATGAATAGAAAAAAGAAAGAAAAAAATATTTGTGAAGCTGAATAAAATAGAGTATCTAAGAAAACATCGGCATTGAATATTTCGTATTAGCACTAAAGACTGTCCTACGACAAAAGGACACCATATCCTTAAAGTGATGTAACAATATTTTTGCAGAAATATTGAATCACTCATAAAAGAAAATTGAATATTATAACCTGAAAAGTTTTTCAGCAAAATGTATTCAAACAATACCATAAAGTAACACATCTTCCTACCAATCATCACACATGACATTCTTTTCCAAAGTCTTATGGAAATTCTAAATAACTTTTTATTCAAATAGAATTGAATAGGAACGGACAAGTAAAAACAAAGAATGAGTACATCTTAAGCAAAATATAGATTTAAAAAGTTGGACCTCTGGAAGCTGCTTTTAATACTTCTGTAATAACTACGATTTACGTGCATATGTACATTAGTGCATTCTTATCTAATGTTTTCTGTGTTTTTTATCATTTAGCGAGATCCTGCTTAAGCTGCGGATAAAGAAAGATTGAAGATCACAAAAAGAATGTGCCTTTATAGTGCTGTCGGATCATTGATACTGTCTAAAGAATGTAAAATGTGAAAACAACATTTTCTGCTTAAGCGGAAATTTAAGTGATACCATGCAAACTAAATAAATTGAATACTCTATTACGTTTCTTATTTTTTTATAACTGAATACTTCTTTACACGCTGCTCTATAACTGGGTTTTCTTCTTAAGGAATAACTCTTAAGCGTTAGATGACTATGTATCACAATAAATTGTAATGAAACAGATGTCTTCTGACTTTCATTTCAACGATAATACTATTATATACTATATCTAAAATAAATATGTATCTTGATGATAACTTGCTTAAGCTGTATGTTCTGGATCTACGTGTATATTTTGGAAAATCGGAGTTCTATTACAGTCCATATCTTATATTGAGTAGATTCTACATTTCGAAGAATGTTCAGCAACCTTCTCTTTTAATATACTACTGTAGCTTTCTTTAAAGGATATATTTTGGCAAAATCTTTAGGTATAATTTTATTTCAAGTCTTAGAGTATGTTTAACATCAAGCTATTGAATCAACTTGAGTGATTATTGCCAGAAACTTTGCAATGATTTTTATCAGATACTCAACACAAAAATTAACCATTTTTATCGTTCGTCAGTTGCTTATTAAAAAGTTATATATCGTTTAATCGGGACATTTTTAATTAATGTTCAAGACACTACGAGCAAAACTGTTTATGTATAAATTGTACAGTTGTCTATAGAGTGCTTCTTTTGTTAGAAGGCTCGTGATCCTAGCCATGGTGAGATAATTTTTTTGTTGCATCTTTCTGTTACGAACTTGAACTGCTCGTATAAGTGGTTTCGTCCGGGAAGCCTGGCTTCTAGACTATGTTTTCATGCACAGCAGACTGGCGTTTCCGTGAATTTTACCCATGCCTATAAATTCATCTGGCATGGGGGTGACAGATGGGTCGCGTGCCATACAACAACGTCAATTTAGTGCATTTTATTAATGAACCGCGTTAAAATGATGTCATTTCGGCGTCTGTTATTCAAGTAGCAAATTCAAACGCTATTGAAGAAAATAATTGAAAATGGATAAAATGACTTTAATTTCCATGAACAAATATCTTATTGATGTAAATTGAATATCCGTCCCTAAGGAACTCGCCCATGGGCGGTAACTCGGCAAGCCTTGTTACCGTCCAATAGGCTTGTCCCCTCGGGATAGATATCCCGCTCTGAACTGAAGCATTTGACAGATATTATTATTATTATTATTATTATTATTGTTGTTGTGAATAAGAAACCGTAAAAAGCTATGATGTCTGTCTTGAAAATAAGGCATTCCCTTATCATAGATAATAATTACATGAAGAGAGTTTGAAGCGGTAGAGTGCAAACAACCTCTATAACTACATGCAACGTCTGAAAAGTGTTTTATTGGATAGCTTTTTAGGCTCAGTTGCCAAGATTGTTGTAACTTTATCAATAACTAATGCATTTTTACCTTTCTGTTACGAACAAAAGGCTGTTCGTAAAACATGCAAAATAATAATTCAAATATCTGGAATTAGCGAAAGTCGCTACTGGACACATGACCCTCCTTGCATTATTTCATCAACGAGTAGACACCTGAATAGAACAACCGACGTTCCTTAATCTAGTGGAGAGCTTCCTCACTTGTTATAATCTGAAGTTACTTAATTGATGAGCGGGAAGTAGTTTAAAATCAATGATTAAAACTACTCGGCCACGACCGCTTCACATATTTCTCGTGATTCAGGCTAATCTCGAGTTACTTATTATACAATGTAGATGATGCAAATGTGGTAGCTAACATTAAGAGTCCAAACGCTATGTCCAACGATCATATTTACGGACTTTGAATAGTTTCTTGATTTTTGTAAAAAAACTACGTGTATAAGATTGGCTAACGATCGTTTAGGCAAGATTGTCATTTAAGATGCAGTGAAGCTAATAAACCAAACGAAAGCGCTTTGTCAAAGTGATGACTTTTTGAATGAATATTTTATAGTTTCTAGTGATATATTAGAAGGCCATATTATTGATCTTTTTAACATTTACATTTATTTTACAGAAATTTTGTCTAAAGGGTTTATTATGCTTCTTCATAAAAAGAGAGGTCATGCTATATGTTTTTAAATTTATCAATGCTTTATGGTATAAATTGTGTAATAAAGGATAAGATAGAAAGTTATAAATTAATTTATTCAATTGATAAGTCGTATGTATATAAAGAATTTTTCAACTTATCGGTAGGTCTACATAATACATCCGCCATGTTTGCACTTTTTAGTAGTCAGTGAATTCAAAAAGTTCGTAGATTGTAGGTAGAATATAGATGTATTTAATTCATGTATATTTATTTTATTATTAGTTGATAATATGATAATTATCGGTAACTCACAAGAGTATTTACAGAAAATATTGAAGTCTTTATGAATACTGTAATCTAAGGGGCTTTGATGTGAATGCAACAAAAACTAAAATATTTCTTTTTCGGAATAGAGGAGTAGTACTCCCCTCATGACCGTTGGTTTTAAAATAATGAATCTTTAGAAATTGTTCACGGTGTGGTTTTAAATTATACTTGCACAGGTACAGATTTGAAGGCAATAAATGTCTTGATATGTAATATAATTAACTATAGAATATCTCCTTTTGTTTCCCTTCAAATTATTTGATGCATTTGCTGGTTCTATCATAACTTGACTTGCCAAGTCTGAATACTTACGAAGTCTAAAGATATCGAAAGATTACATTTGAAAATTGTGCAGGTAATTTCTACGTGTAAAAATAAGTTCTAGTTATGCAGCAGTCTAATAACATCATTGTGTTTGTGTGGAACACAAATACATTAAATCAGTGTCACGCCCGGTAAACTGTCGCTCCACTTCAAAATTGTGGTGTACGGTAAAACGAGCGAACGGCAAACTTCAAACCATGAAAATGGTCTACACTTAGGATATTTTGAAAAAGTGTTTTACAAAAATATTAACCCGTAACAAGAGCTAGTCTTTCGTGCAAGATATACTACTCTTGGTGGATTTCTTCAATTTGTATATCAATTTTTTTCGAAAGTAGTGGAGTCGATGGGCAAGAGATGGAGCGAAAGGTCGGTTGTTGGGCGCAAGGTAGTACTAAGTTGGTGTAAAAAGCGTAGTCCACGAATTTTTAAAAGTAAACTCTTTAAAAGTTAAAATAGACGTACTAAAATGTGAAGCCGGAGAAATATGATAAGATATTAATTTATTCCTACTATAACTAGGTCAATTAAAATATTGATAATTTTAGTCCGTACACCGACTGAGAACTGCCTTTTTTATTACGTTCGTTTTGTTT